CACTGTTTCTCCTTTGTTCGAGCTTTAAGTTAATTGCACCTTGAGGTCTGGAATTCTCTCCTGATTAAGGCCTTCATTGTCCTGGGAATTGGTAATACTTCAGTTTGTCATCCGAAATGTTAGCTTCCATAATTGTGAAAATGTCTACATCATAGGTTTGCAGGATTTTCTGTATTTGGATCTTTTTGTCCGGAGACATTCCTCCAGCATTCCACTGGAGGATCTGAAGACATTGCAATTCGCCCTGACGAGGGCGATTTTTCTTATAGCCTTTTTTAAAGCTAATCATAATTAATCGAAGTCAAAAACGAATGCCGAGTGATAGACTTTTTTGCCGTAAGAAAATACGTTGTCCAGGGTGCACCACGAGGAGGTAAGTCTATCGCGCACCCCATTTTTCGGACAATAATATGGCCTTACATTAAAGGGAATACTTATTTTCTCTTGTAGTTCTTAAAACTGTATCTTGTAAGAATAAGTTCGATTATAGACCGCAGTGGTTGAGCCGTCATCTGTGAGAAATATATCCATATTTGTGCTACTTGTTCTTCAAAAGCTCTTCCAAATCGGATTAAAAGTGATGGATAACTGCGACAGATAATTAATTCAAACAGCAGTATGTATGCTAGTTATCATTAGCCCTTTTGTTGACTTCGAGCTTCACATCAAAGGGTGGAGAAACATCAAAGTCACAAACAGTCGAGAGGGTGGGGAACAGAGGAGAGTGATTCAGAGATGTAAAAGAGGCAGACAGACGCAAAAGTAGAGTAAAAGGGTAAGGTGAATAATGAGGAAGTGGTGGAATATGACATACATTCGGGTCATGGTATTTTGAAGTCAGAAGTCAACTGCAGGTTGATAGACCTTATTCAAGGTACACTACGTGGAGGTATGTCTATAGGGCATCTCCTGTGGCAGATATAATGCAAGAAGATACAAACATATCCCAATCGAGTAACAAGATTAGAATCAGAATATTAGTCTATTTCCGGACTGAATTAATATTTCGTAATCGAAATAAAAGCGCTGATAAATAATCAAATAGTTCGTGATATATCGACCCATTACTTTACGAAAATTTAACCCTGTTCATAAGCATTTGACATACGAAAATAAATACGAAGACTCTAAATGAGACTATTATGGAGTGGGTATTGGCCAAAAATAAACTTTGCGCAATTCCTTCATATTTAGAGCTAAAAAGTCCAAAAAGGTAATTTTTTAAGTTGCATAAATAAATGGGTGAAATTCAATTCTAGGACATAGAAAGTGAAATCTTCGTTTATTGAAGTGCTTCATTAAATCAAAAAAATTTTACAGTAGATATTACTACCTAAAAACCACCAGAAAATATTGAAAATGAACGCTTGTCTCAGCTTTTCAATACCAATCAAATATTAAAACAATTCCGAGACAGGTCTTAAATTGAATAGATTATATCTCAAAAATCAACTTTAGAAGTAACAATGATTTAATATTGGCTGCTCAATACGTACGTTCGAACCTAATCTCCCTTCAAATTCAGCATCTTATGGTGTCGCATTCAATTTTTTTGATTAGATTAATATAATATAGCATATTAGATAAATAAACTCACATGAGCTGAGGTATTGAGAATTCCTGAGGTAATACCCTCATCAACTGGATAAGTTATTTCGGCTGCATATTCAAATCCGAGTGGCAACATACCAGATTGGAAGAATCTAATGTGTGCAATTACGTTGACGATAGTCAGACAACTTGAGACTGGGAAATTTATGATATTCAGAAGAATGACTCACCCCAGAAGAATCATAGCAATGAAAACTACTGCAATGTGGGAGCTGTACACACTGCCCATGAAAGTCCCCCAACTAATGACACTGAGTATATAGAAAATAATCACAACAAGCCTATAAATAAATAAAAAAATCAGTGAATAATTTGCAAGTTTTACAAAATTCAAAATCATTAATGATGAAACAAGTACATTCTTTCGAAAGAGCAATCAAAAGATTCGTGTCAATAAAAATTCTTTTTTACTTAGTTTAGGCTTACTTATAGAGACCAGTTTTCTTGAGTATTATTCCGGCTACTATGGAACCAACCAAGCCAGCAATCACCATGGAGAATCCAATCCATCCAATTGCCACCTGTTCATTCTAAAAAAACAATTTTGCTCATTGTTACTAGAAGCCGAAGTAGCATCTTAAATATAGTCTAGTTGGAAATTCGTATGTCTTGGTGGGTTAATTTTAAATAGCATCTTTTGGTCCTAACTAAAGGTGATCGATAATGTGAAACGGTTGAAATCAACTCTTCAAATGTGAGTGTTTGATTCAATCGGGGTCTTAGCGATATACCTACACCTTTTAGACACTATGATAGAACTTGACGCATTCTAGAGGTGTCAAACAACAAATGGAAAATTTTCACCTTAACTCTTTATTTTGCAAAAAAAATACATTGCTTCACATCAATCCAAACTCCTCCCAATTGAAACTAAGTATAACCATTTGAATAATATAAAATTATTTCTTAGAGAAATAAGTGCGTCATTTCTTTATTATGACTGCGTTAATTCAAACATGTCGACCGCTTGGAAATAAAAACGGAAAACCCACGAGTCAAAGCATTGCTGCGTTTGCAGTGAATCAATCATATTTTTGATGTAAAAATGACGCAAGTAAATGTATATCATTATTTCGAGCAAAACTTCCCTCCCCGCGTCACAAGAATTGAAAAAGTTTACCTTGTCTTAAATTCAATGTAAAAGTTTCCTCTCATCATAATGTTTTGAGCAAGCTATTGAAAAACAGTGGGGAAGATTATCGGACAAATAGACTTATAGTTTTTTATAGAGCTATTGAAACGAAATTTGCTGAATTAATGAAGTGAACTTGCACAGTTGACAAGATTAAGATGACAGTGAGTGTCAGGCTAAAGCTCGACGAAATCTTTAAAATAGCACAAGTTGGAAATTTGACAATAGAAAGGACTCAGGATGAACGAGCTAATGAAATCACAACTAAATGTACTTCTTCGCTCATGAAAACAAGTGCTTTCATGCACTAATCGTCCCAAAAAGTAGTACCTAACCAAAACGCATTGGACGCGTTCGCAATGATGAAGGACATTAATTACTTTTTAAAGAACGAGGCACTTTTACTTTACCACTTATTGTTCGACCACAACAGCGCAATAATTTTTTTCGAGTAGGGTGTTTAGGTGGAAGAAATAACTTCAATGGAGAGGGTGAATTTCAAACGTCCCTTCACGAAGAGCAAACAAATGGTCGTAGAAATTAGGAGCGAAATACATTTGTTTGAAATTTAGTTCCAAAAACGGTTGAAACGTATATTTTTTTACCTATGTGCGTTGGAAGTAATGAATTCTACATACAAGTAAATAGTATTTGGACAGAAACAACAGATATTCGAAACCATGGAGGTTAAAAGGTTTGATCGTGTTGACACCGAAATTGTTTAGCACCATCAAAGTGCAAATTTGTTGTAAACTGCTAATTGACACCTCAAAATAGTGGATGAACTTAGTTGGGATCAACTTACTTTGTTCAATTTGTTAATTTGCAATTCAACTCCGACAATCTCCTATTTAAAGTTAATATACCATTCCAAACAGAGAAAAAGAGATTACATTTAATTGACTACAAGTATTATTTGGTCTGTGTTAAGTATTTTTAAAAATCAGAATGGAAAAGAGTTATTGAGCAAAAAATGAAAAATGATTGAATTCGTACCTAAACTGCGGTTTAAGCACAAATCTCAAATAATGTGTAACCATACAAATCAACGGATTGGACTTTAAGCACTTTAGGTCACTTTAAGTTGTATTAACTCTTTAACGCCAAAGTATTTTTTTCAAAATTTACCCAATTGCACCCACGAGTGGCACACAGCAGACTGCTGCCGATATAATGAGCTTTGGTGGGGTATCAGCCGAAGGCTAAAGATGCATTGAACATGTTTCAAACAGCAATAGACCCTTCTGCTTAGAGTCTTTTACCAATGGAGCTTATTTTGAAGAAGGCCGTACGGTCCCAAGGTCGTTAAGGGGTTAATACTAAAGTATCATTAGGTTTCATAGTACACAATATAGGACCGTTAGGGGTTGTCGTTTATTGACAACTTACTTATTATTGCCATTGCTATCAAAAAATAAGTTATTAGTCATTTTATAAACATGAATAGTGTAAAGCAGTAAATTATCGTGTTAAGCATATAACTAGTAGACATTTTACGTCGAATACCACGTGCGCGTTTTGCACATTTCAATTAAATTCAGTGATAAAAGTACACACAACACTGATAGTTTTGTCAATCTCATGAAATACTATAATAATAAGTGTAATGGCAAAACTTTCCTAAAGTACAGAAATTGCCATTTTCGATTCATAGTTTCAAAATTATCCAGACCATGTGAGAAAATTGAACATTTCACATTTCATCACAAATGAAAATTTATTTCCGAAAACCGCATAAAAAGCAGTGTCATTCATTGCGCCGTGCTCAGTTTAACAACCTTTTTTAAAGTTAAAATTAAGTTTTAAAAAAGTGTCATTGTGTTTGCCCTAGTCTCGAAGAAGATTGGTGGTGGTTATCACTAAATTTTTATTCATTATAAGTTCTTTCTGCAAAATGGCTTTTTATATTGTTTGAAAATAAGCTAAAAACACCTTTCTTCCAAAAAACTTTCACAAATTTACGAAGTTAGTCCATCTTTCCTCTATCTTAATCCGTTAAACATCTTACGAAGATGATTGTAGCTTGGCATATTTAAAAGCTATAATATTCAAATGATCACTTGTTTTAGTAATCCATTAGTTAAAAACTTACATATGGAAATTAAAATAAAATTTAAAATTCTATTTAATGGAGTTTAAATTTTTTAAGACATGAAATTAAAATTGAAATCCTTGTGTAAAGTATAAATTATCCTAATGTTCTTTCATTAAATATATAATTTAGTTGGTATAATATCGATACTTTGTAAATAAATTAATTATAATAATGAAAGATTGGGCAGTAAGCCTAAAACCTACCGGGAAATAGGCTGCGACGATGGTGTTTAAGAGGGTTCCGATCTCATAGTATACGGCAGTATTGACACCTAAAGCAAGGAAAAAATAGAGCAAGTAGACACATATTTTATTGGATAATTCATTAATAACAAAAGAAGTCAAAATAAGTCAAGAAAGATTGACTGATCTTTCATCTTAATCACCTTTGCAGAATGATCAGAATGCTGTACTTATGCTATATCACTCAAAAAATTTTAATCATCCCTAATTTTGGAGCTTCAAGCATTTAAAAGCGACTCATGAAGCTATAATTATTAGGAATTCAGAATTTTGAGAGAATAAAGACTTATTTATTATCCGAATTCTGCGATAAATCGGGATGCTTTCCTGAACGAGCATTAAAAATTTTCATTAATTTTAACAAATGATGTAATGATTAGTTAGACTCACCGTAGCAAATATTAAGAAACACGAAGCTAACACTCTTGAAACAGTAGAGAACCTGTTTAAAGTAGCTCTTTTGAAGCAAATCGATCTCCTCTGCGTCGTGAATAGAAGTTTCATTATCTGCACAAGGAACAAAAATATAGTGTTAGCAGCAACTAAAGAATGGCATGATTTTCATAATTTATCCAAATACTGATTGTAAAAATCATTCTTCCACTTCCATGGACTGGATATCATCACTGAGAGGTGTCGAGAGGTGCCTTACTTTAAAGACTTTCAAATACCGCGAACGGCCCAGCTAACATGTAACAGAACAAATTTTTAACTCTTTACTAACCAAAAACCTATTTTCCCAAATTAACCTGTGCGATAGACTTACTTCTACGTGGTGCACCCTGGGCAACGTATATTCATACGGCAAAAAAGTCAATCGATGGGCAATTGACTTCTGACTTCAAACTGCCATGACCCCACTGTATGCCATATTCGACTACTTCCACAGTACGCACCTCACTTTTTTCTACCTTCGTCATTGAAGCACTCTTCTGTTCCCTCCCCCCCCTCTCGACTTTATTTCCACTTTGATGTTCCTCCCCTTCTGTGGAGGCTGAAGTCAACTAAAGGGCTAATGATAACTATCAGAACGCCTGCCATTTATATAAATAACCTAAGCGTGTATAAATTGCATATTTTTTAAAAGGTTGAATTTCAAAATTTTTATTTTTCACAATAAATTACACGTGCTCTTAGCGAATAAATTTTAACATTGTTATCACAACAGTTGGTCGAAAAACTTAACAAACGCAATGATGGAAGTAGAACGAATTTCGATAGCGTTAAAATACTTCATAATGTAAATGAACCATAATGCAATTAGTAGGGGGATAAAAATCAAACCTTTGGAGTAATTTCTTTTAATTTCTTGATAAAATATAGTCTAATTTGATTGGAAAGACTTTAAAACACTCGAAATGATAACATATTGGCCTATATAAGGTCAAAAACGGCTCTATAGATTCGAAACAAGCATTTCATTGCTTGCGTATCAAAAAATAATTGAAAGAGTATACACAAATTTTACTACTCTCTGCTCAAAAATTTCCAAAGTGGAGAGCTTCAGTACTACCATCTTTACAAATAACTGACTTTTATAATCTTTGTTTTATTTATTTTATAATTTGGAATCAATTTAAACAACAATAAGCCGATAGCCTTGTAGTTAGCGAGATAAAAGTGGCACGATCATCCAAAGGTACAAATCTTAGGCTCCTTTGAATATTACTCATTATCTGGACTTTTTAATTGAAAGATCGAATTAGCGGTTTGCACTGGGAACTTATGGCATTTTGTTATGAAAATCAGATAGGTTTAGCAAAATTTTAGCAGTGATTATTTGCCAATCGTTTTAAAACCCTCATAATTTGTAAAAAATTTAGAAATTTTAGTTCTGTTGGAAAAAAGTTTTGAAAGCTTTTGGTAGACAATTGGAACATCTATCATTTTTCCTGAGTGAAAGGTGAGATGTAATTCATCTCTACAGTGCTACACTTAACTAACAAGTCAAATCTTTTCCAATATCGCAGAAAGCTAAAACCATGAATTAATCCATTTAAAAATAATAATAACAAACACAACTTGAAATAAGCTAATTCAACGCGTTTGTTATTGAATAAATTCAAATTACTTTAAACACCTTAATCCTTAAGTCAATAACCATCCACAAGCTCCTTTAAAACAAATATAGTGTATTGAAATAAAGTTTCCGATAGAGGGCTAATGATAAATTTCATAAAGCCTGCCATTTGAAATAAATAAATAGTTTCCGATATAATATGTTACAATGATTAAGGTGTCATTAAATAATAAAACGCTTAGGAAATTTTGAAACAAAAAGTAGTCGATTATAACACACCCGCACTAGATTCTTCGTTTTTTACGCCCCGCCGTTGTAAAATCTTTCGGTATTGAGCCAGACTGGGTGCCATTTTTGGCTCTTCTTTATAGCCTACAAATTTAAAAAGAAGTTAATGCGTTGCCAATACTACTTCTTAGATAGTTTCAAATTGTTGACAAAAATGTAGAGATTTATATATCCCTTTAAATCTTTAAAGCCCGCATTTTTTGAGAAATGCTCCTAACCGTACTCACGTGCGTTTCATAGCAGACTGATGTCGACGTGATGAGTTTTGGTGGTAACAGAGGGAGGTTATAGATGTTTTGAACATGTTTCAAATGATAATAGCGCCTTCTGTTAAAGGGTTAAGTACCAAAACATCCTAAGGTCGTTAAAAGTCTAACTAATTAGTGTCAAGAGCTTCATATATAATTATCCCTGCCATCAAACCTAAAAGTAAAGGTTTATTTTTGACGTTATGGGTCACTGTGGATAAAGAAATAGCCGATGATTTTGCTTTAATTCTTATACGATTTAATGGGAACTTGCAAGTTTTTTTGCAATATTTCGTGTCATTCAAGTGTTAGGCTCTTTGAGGTTATTCAAGTCACCTCTAAAGCACCTCAATAAAACAAATTATCCAAAATATGCACTTTTACTCAGCATTGTTCAAATACCGCTTTTTCCAATATGGTGCATTTTTCACTATTTGGAAGCTAAGGCTGAAAAGAGGAGAGTTATGGAAGCCTACCTCTATGTCCCTCAGAGCAGATCTTAGAACGCAAGATTGGTAAAAAATCGCTTTGAGTCATCGATTCAACGCAAAGTTGTGTTATCGGTTGATTAATCGCAAAAGTATTATTGGCGCATTAGTAAAAATGTATAGATCGAAAGAGGGATGTGCGATCGACCTACCTCCACGTGGTGCACCATGGGCAACGTATACCCATGCGGCAAAAAGGTCCATTAATCTGACTTCAAACTACCATGACCTGACTCCATGTCATATTCAATCATTTCCACAGAACTCACCTCAGCTTTTTTTCTACCTTTGTGTCTGTCTCTTTTACATTTTTGAGACACCCTTTTGTCCCCCCCCCTCTCGACATTTTTCCTTTTGATGTTATTCCGAAATTTTTCTTCATTTCTCTAGATGATTTCGTGGTAAGGGCAAATAAGTATTTCATTAATTTTGGAAAGGAACCAAACAACTCGAATTATCCCCAAAGGTTATCACAAAGTGGTATAAATTTTACAGTATTTACTTCATTCGCTAATGTTCATAATTCATTAATCGCCCAAATATCCTCAGGGCAAGGAGTCACATCAGTCATATTCGTAAGGTAAATATGAAGCTACCAATGTATGTGAATGTTGCCAGAGAAGTTATTGACCTGACATAATCAATGAGATCATCAAACCATTGAATTCGAGATCAAAAAGAACTTTTAGTGCCTATTTGCAAGATACTTTAATCGTTCAAAAGAAGAGAGTAGTTGAAATGCCCTATATCACCCTCAATAATGAGATTCAAATCACATCAAATATTGGAAGCCACGAGATTTTTAAGACACCGTTTTTATCCAATTAATGATTTGTCATTAGCAAAAAGAAAAGAATCTAAAATAGTGACTTACAGAGGGCCACAATAATGAGATCGAGAGACATGATAGCTGCACCGCCATAGAACATAATCCTGAAGCCCTTTCGAACATTGTCGAATTGGTCGATTCCGGTAGTCTCTGTTACGGGAGGAACCATCAAAGGCGGGAGACCAAACCCTAATGCACAGCCGACCTGAAAGGTCAAACCAAAACAACTTAATTAGCCTGAAATGGCATAATCAAAATAGGATATATACATGACAGAAATCATTTTCCTCTTCCTCAAAGTTGTGCAGCATTCCCGATATGGCAAAAGTGGATTAATAGTGTAGCACATATATTTTATCCATGGGATGTGTGATAGACTTACCTCCAAGTGGTGCACCCTGGGCAACGTATATTCATACGGCAAAAAAGTCTATTAACTGACCGTTGACTTCTCACTTCAAACTACCATCACCTCACTCTATGCCATATTTGACTATTTCCACAGTACTCACCTCACCTTTTTTCTACCGTTGTATTTGTCTCTCACATCTTTGAAACACTCTTCTGTTCCTCCCCTCTCGACTTTTTTAAATTTGATGTTCCTTCCCCTCTGTGAAGCCTGAAGTCAACTAAAGGCCTAATGATAACCATCAAGACGCCTGCCATTTGATATAAATAAATATTTTATACATATAGTTCTCTTCATTTGTTCCACTGCCGTTATATATTCTATTCGTCGAATTAAGTTTACAAGGCGAACCAAATAGGAGGAAACATTCCACCAGTTCATGACTATAATCCTGACAAATGACACTTCACGAAAATTGCCGTGTGCTACATTTTTGTCATCTTAGCTCTGCTATGTCAGAGAGTTGTGAAGTTGTTTAATATCGTGCAGAATAATTTACCTTCCCAATACTTGGTAGAAAGTAATTAACAGAGGAATCAACAATCGAAATATCATTCAAAAAACATGGAAAAGTTTGTAGACAATTCATGAAATTCGAATTTTTGAAATGTGAACCATTCATTGCGTAAAATTATACAACTCAAAGTTAAATATTTAAATAAACAAGCCTCGTTGACACTATGACCATAATCACAGTGTCTTCTCGTTTCTAAAATTGATCCTTTATTGGCTGATCGATTGTATTTCCCTTCCTACACTGAACGGTAATCTGTATGCCATGTTAGTGAGGCAGTAATCATCTTGGGAGGGTTGTTAAAGGATTGTGATATTAACTTAGCACAAATATTATATAAAATTATGAGACATAAAGAAACTGTTTCATGAATGTCATATAGCCTAAAAGCATATAATTCAGTAGCATTCTCATAAGGCTCAAGCACAAAAGATTCTACTCCATAAGAACGATTGATTAACCAGATTTTTATAAACGCGTAAACAGTTAATTAGAGTAGCAATGTTCTATATATATTCGATTTTTGGCATGAAAGTTGCTCAAAGGATAGTACATCCTTTATGTTGTCACTTCTGAAAAGCTTGAAGCAACACATAAAATAGTGTATTTCTAAGAGTGGTGTTGCCTCTGGCAAGTGACCTAGACAATTCGAAGACAAAAAGTACATTTCTGAAATAAAATCTCAAAATTATTCGAGATATGCACTCTGTAGATTTTCAGACTCGAACTTTATACGTTAAGATAGCAAGTTTAAATCATTTCGGAAATCGGAGATATATGTAATTATTCGCATTTTAAATAGCATTAATAATTTTATAAATGTCAACTGAAAGCAAACAGCATAATTACTGTCAATGTAGTGCAAAGAGGCTACAACCACTAATCCATGTGGAAAAACTGGAATAAGTGAAATGTCAAATGTGGCCAATTAGGGCAAGAATTAGGAGGAGGGTGGTCAAGAAAAAGTACTCTGGAACTCCGAAAGCAAACTTGTTATTTACATTCTATTAAGGTGTAAAAATCCCTTCCCAGCTATTGAACTCCTATTCTGCCCCGATTACTTACACTATGGAAAATATATTTCAATTGCTTATTTGACTTTATTAATTGAAGGTAAATAATAGTCTTCCCTGATTGCGGGCCAACAAACAAAGCTGCAAAGTGTCCTCAAAGTTGATCACAGAATCACCAACGTCGGTTTGGCATTTATTCCTGACAGGAGCTATAAAATACCCCAAATATTAGCAATATTAACGCTCTATATCCATATCACAGGCCTTCTTGAGTAAATAAAATGTTTTGAATTAACTGCTCTTTATCTAATCTATTTCTCTTGGTCTAAGTCAATTTTGCCAATGGATATCTAATAAACACCCTATTTATGGCGATAGAAACTAAAACTATGAGCAATTTAAAGTGTGATTAGATTTTGGGAGAAAACTAACAAATCCAAAACTTTTTGATGTAATGAGTCATATCAAGCTAACTAAACACGCATTACCCCGATAACAAGAAGTCAGATAGGCCCTCAGCAACACAAACGCTTGTGGAGCTTCATACTGAAGTTATCCAAATGGAATTGCAACTTATTAGGGTATCACTAATCAGTATTCGAGACAGATTCCAGGTTCCGATAACCATTTTTATTCTGCTTGAATTAAGAACACAAAGGCAAGTCCTCGACAATGAGCCGCTAGCACATAAACGGCCTTCCCATATGTACCTACAGCAAAGCCAATCTCTCTTCCGATCCTCTCACAACATCTAACTTTGGCACGTTGGATGGAGACCTATGACAATCCAAAACTCGGCGTTAGCAGCCCGATATATATTGAACATTTTGGTTAGCAATTGGAGGCGTTAAGTAAGTAGCGCTGCATATGGTGACACTTCGAAAATATAGAAATTCTTAAATAACCCGGCAACCGACAACAATTCGCTACTTATCTAACTCTACAAATTTAAAGTACAACCGAACCTTTCATAAAAAGGCCGCATCTCTTTCCACAGATCAAATTTGCTCTTAAGCATCGCCCTGCGGGCTGTAACGATTAAAATGCCTAATAAACTAAACGATTGCTCCACTTTCTAAAGGAATCATTGTTGGTTTATAACTTTGTGTAACAATTTTCATTTTACAAGCATGGTTTCAAAAAACAGATTAATTGCCAATTTCGTAATAACTGAATTTAAATAAAGACTTTCTTATTTTTCGTATGAGAATAAAATTTTGCTTCATAAGGCTAAATTGTAGACAAGTAATCAGGGATGCTGTTGCCAATCAGTAAAACATGATTAAAACTTAAATTGAAATTTCTATCAAAAGCACATTCTGGTGAGGTCTGACAAATTAAAAGCTAATTAATATCATAACATGATAAATGTAAATATGGGTTGTATGGTTGATCATAAAGCTGTACACATACCCTGTGTATTCTCGCATGTAAACCTGGGAATGCAATTACTAAAAGTTAATATCAGGATAGACTTGGAACTAGGCTCCTTATAAAAATGTGTACAACCCAATATGTGCACAAACCAAATAAATATTGACTGCAGTCTCGTTTCCTATTGGACTTGTCTGTTCTTCGTTTCACTCTAAACCTTGTGGAGAATACAACACTAACACTGTTAACCCAGTCAATTACATGTGCACTTGAGAATTTCGAAACGCACAACGCGATACTGATCGTGTTAGGGAATAAATGAGGCCATGAGCACAGAGACTCTTCAGATGATCAGCCATCAATTGTCATTTCATGGTTAGCAAACTAAAGACTACATTAAATGACTAGGCTCTGGGCTAGGTTCCTCATGCCATATACATCGATTTTATCATGATCATCACAACCTTAACAAACGCATTCCACGTCATGCGCTGTTTCACCAATATTATTGAGATAGCTTTGTTAAATTTGGGAGCCATTCCACACTGAGGAATTTTCCCAGAAAACGAGGCAAGGCTTTTTCGTGTAGCAACCCACCGCACGCTTTCCAGATGGCATGAGCTTGCAATGTTTAGAAAAATTGAGATTTAAACAGTTTAAAGAACTATAAAGTAGGAATGAAGTGAAAATTGGATCTCTGAATGAGGAATGAACAACGTAGAAGAACGATAGAAATATTTTCCATACAGCAGTGAAGCCTGGCGCAGATTAGAAAAAAATGTATGAACCAGAAATTGCAATTGATTATTATTGTAAGCAAAAAGGATAAAATTGTGAGCACACATGGAATGGGAATAGATATATTCGAAGAAGGTAATGACTAAACGTAGACATGAATGCTAATAAGAATTAAATTTGGACAAATTAATTTGATCACGCTTTTGCCGTTGTATTCAACTGTCAACTATTCCAATCTAATGAATGCTTTTGTGTGTAAAAGGAGCTGAATACAATTTTGAGGCCAGTGAAACAAATAATTTAGAAGGCTTAAATGCAAAATGCACCCCAAATAACTAGATTATAATGATAAAATCAAAATAAAATATTAATAGATGAATAAATAGAGCTGGTTCATATTTTGTTATAAATTATAGCATTAAAATAACACAAAGAATATATGTCGGTTAGGCACAAAACAACTCTAATCTATAATAAAGTTGCTGAATGAGTCCTTAACGAAAGTTTTTATCTGAGTAAGTTAAAAGTTGCCATGCTTTATGGTTTATTAATGGATAAAGCATTACAAATGCATTATAGTTTCATATTTTGTTATACGCAAATACCTATTTTTCGAAATTAATTAAAAGAAATCAATGAATATTATTTTATTACCAATCATTCAAATAATTGATGGCTCGAGATGCATTGAGATGATTTGACGTACTTCAACTCGGGTCAATTAGACACTTTATAGATCGTTAAATCAAAAACACTTTCTAACGATATTAGAAGAATTAAAATTTTCTAACGCGTATGGAACGGAAATACAAATCCACAAATAGTTCAAACGCTTCCATGTACATAAATTGGTCTCAACATTTCAAAACCATGGGTGTCCATGAAACAAAAAATCATATAACACAGAAGGTGCTTCATGGACTTTCTGTCCAGCTCGATTTGACGATAGGAATTTAAAAAACCAAATTTACGTAATAAGTAGCAATATTCACATCTAAAAATTTCGAATATTGATAGTCAACATGTCGTTAGAGTTATAAAACGCGAAATAATATAACCACTGAGAGTAAACAGATAGATAATCAATAATGAAGTATTGTAAAAGTGGAAAAACTATCTCATCAATTAAAATTAAGAACACTTAGTTAATTTTATTCAAGTGAAGCTTACGCTATTCGTGTGGCTTATCATACTATATTTCATATACTAAATTATTTCACATACTTGGTTTCCAAATACGCCGATGGCGGTAGCCAGAGCGAGCTCGGACTTTCCAAACCATGTAGAAGCCAGTTGAGCAGGAACTCCGAGAAGAAAGACTTGACCTGAAGCACAAACAAATTGTCCGACCATGAGGAGAGGAAACGAAGCAGTAGCCGAAGTTGTATCGACACCATAAGGCTGAGACAACTCCATCGAAAGGCACTTAATCCAAGCCCCAAGTGCATTCAAACCGGCGCCAATTAGAATTGACACCCGAAGACCATAGTGATTGAGAAGCCATGTCGCAGGTACAATCATTGGAATATAGACAAGCATGTACATCATGGAGAGCCATGCAATCGCTAAATCCTTGCCCTGTTTAGATTCTACAATATAATGATTTACATCATAAAAATGAAACGATTTGAATTCGTATGAAAAGGCTAAATATCTACCTGGTAATGACCCATTCCAGAAAAAAACAGAGTCAGGGGCAACAATATTAATATGCAACCACTGAAATGCATTTAGTAATGTAACCGTGCAAAACAGCGTCAGCATCCACCATCGAGCTTTTACAACAACGGGAACAAAAGTATCGACGTCATTTTTTGATTTTACATTTTTTACTGTTGACTCAGAGTCCATGGTATTGAAAAATAATATAATGCAAATATTTACACGCTCTATAAAAGTGAAGCATAGAAAAGCAACTACAAAAAGCCGCGTGTCACTTTAGAGGGCTAGAGTTCCATTAATTGTAAAATACAAACAATAGTATCACCTTGACAGTTTAGTCAAAAATAAATGTTAATACGTTAAAGAATGCATAAATATTTAATTTATTAATTACGTTTGACACCATCGTATTAGGTTAACATGGTGACTAAACTTATTGTCGATATTACAACATTGATTTTGTAAACCTATTTATTTTTTAGAATATCAAAAAATTATAGTTATTAAAAGGTTTTAAGCATATTAAATGGTTTCATTAGATAAATTAAATACCAGTTTGGGCAATAAATAGATTGACTTATCCCTTATCTACATTTTACTATAATCTCTCTAATCATTAATCGAGCATTCGCTTTACAAATCATGAACTCTATTTTTAACATTATCTAAAGGGAACTATCATACTTTATGTTGAAATATTTTATGAGCTTGGGTATTCGGTAGCCTTATCTATTGTGTTTACTTAAAAGATGTGAAGTTGGTAGGTAATCTTCCAATAAGATAACATGCTAAAGTTTTAGCATTTTTAAGATATGCGATATTTTTAATTCTTTAATACTCATTTTACACTCTTTCTAGTTAGGTTAATGACAATTGTCAAACCCTCCAGCTTCCATATTCACCGTAATGATTTAAAAATTCATTAAGATTCATAAGACCGCCGCTTACCATTCATAAGAGGACATTCACGAATTTTGTCATATCTAACGTATTACATCCGTTTGCTGATGAATTGCCTGCCTTGATGCCTGAATTCCGCTCCTCTATTGAGTTCAAACGCTTTTTTTCCTTCTCAATATAAATCTAAAATGGAATCACGAGTTACCACAACAGTCAGCCAGCAAGCACGTTTTTGGGACCAAATGTATCTATATTCATCTGCACAAATCCAATAAACTTATTGATCAGTCACGCAGGCAACAAGTAACTAATAAAGAAGTGGTATATTCGTCAGGTCTTTCGCATTTACCTTGACTTAGGTTTACAACCTCTAGTCAAATAATAAGTTAGACGTAACTCATTTTTAGTAAAGGCTTCAACTGTTGACAAAAGAAACTATTATAAGGATGCTATAAAACATCATCTTGCAGCGCACACTTCCAGTGCCATAATCATTAAATAAGCATCGGAAATGAAGATTACAAGCCAAAAACACTATGGCACAACGTTAACCTTAACTTTACTTCTAGATGTCGTTTTGACACCCCACATCCAATTTCATAGCGAGGGCCGTTAGAGGTTAGACTGATGACATCTTTACAAGAATCTTCCTACGCAACATTCAATGACTGAGCAAAATTCCCACATCTACAGTGCAATAAAGTAGTCAACCACATTTCCAGGGAACTGTGTCTAATGTATCTCGAGTCTATAAAAGAGACGTTTGTTCGTGTGCGAGACAGATGAATAGGGGTCATAGAGAAAGCACTCCTGCATATATCAGAGTACACGCGATTTCAGAGACGGAAGAAAACAATTTAAGGGTGAGATAGAGAAGCATGAGATTTGAAGGAAGATACACGAGATAAACGAGAAAACAGCATACACTGCGAAGAAGAAAGCGTGATTTTTTATCAACGTAATTAGTATCGGACTCGCTTCAGTTTTTTCAAATATATACAAAGGCGATCATAAGAGAATGGCTTTTGAGAAAGGTCTGAAAGAAGCACAATATAGAAATCAACATCAATTTTCAATTCTTCTCAGCTATGTGGAAGAACGGGCAGAAAGCTTGCTGATAACACGAATAAGAGACTTGTTCTCATCCGCCATTCGGGCATTATCAGCACGTAGTCGCTCTATCTCCTAAAATCAAAAATAACAGCGAGATAGACTCTAACTTAATCGATAACCCAAGTTAGATTCAAACACATAATTTGTAAGAGTAAACATTCGTACCTTAGCTTGATTTTCATAATACTCCAGAGTGCCTGGACGAGACTAAAAATCGAGGATAGGAAGAAGATAGCATGAACATAGACAATGGAGCATTCTGAAACAGATTTAAAAAACTTGTAAAAACTCACAGTAGAGGAATCGACGGAGGACCTTGGTGACGTCGCGTTGGCAGGGTTCGAATTGGAGATGTGAAGTCTAGCGAGCTCAGAACGAAGCATATGGATTTCCTGACTGAGCTGATCGAGAGTCCGCTTAAGTCCCTCTTTTTCACTTCTCTCCTCTTCATACAGCATTCGATAGTCGAGATTCTAATAGAGCAGAATTAAAAAATAAACAAATTCATATCCTAACAGCATGTTAATACAAAATAAACAAATTTTGTTTTGGCTTTACCCTTTTACCACTTAAAGAAGAGAGATAGTTAGATATTGTTGGGGATTATAATAAATCACAAACTAGAGTTATATATTATGCTGGTTTAGAATACCTCCGTTTGATGGTCATCACTTGTTGTCAAGTCATTTTCATCAGATGAGTCCTGAGAGAAACCGACGTGTGCTACTGATAATGCATTTAGGTAGTTGATTCAATCAAACAAATGACCAGAGGGGATTATACAATAAAACTTGGGTGCAAGGGGGAAGGAAAATGAACAGCTTACCTCGCGCCAATTATATCGTTGATCTGCAGGTTTATTGATTGTAGCAGGGGAAGTAGAGAACTGCGCTGGTGAAACGCGTCTATGACCGTTTCCATTGCTAACTGCCGCTTCGTTGCTATTATTATTGTTATTGGTATTGGTTATAGGGGTGGTATTTAAAATAGTAGATCTGAGAACTCGTGTTGTAGGCTATAACATTAAAATAATAATTGCTACTCATACAATTTCAGTAAAATATGTTTTATAATGATGGAAAATTACCCTGGGGATTGGGTCAGAGGGAAGAATTGAAGTCACTGGCATGGTACCATCTGTATTACACGCTAGCGCACTCTGCTCGAGTTGTTTAGCAGCAGCAAGAACATCATTCGTGTTAAGCTTTCCTGTAGGGACACGATCTTTGGCCGCTCGTCGGGCCCGTGAATGAGCAATAATAGATGATTGTGAGGCATCAGTAGCTGTAATAGAAAAACATATGATGATGACGAGATTAGGAGATGCATTTTAATTGACCATGAAACATACGATTTTTCAAGATATACTTACCAGGAGTTGTCGAAGGTGCTGTAGACGGTTGCGTAGGAGTAATAATTGCCTTGGAGACGTGTGTCGTTGGTCCAGGAGTTGCCGTACCAGTCGTTACATTATCAACAGATGGTTTTTGAGCCGCCTACAAAGAAAACGCAGTAAATATTCGGAGATGCTACTAAAATGAAGCGCTGTATTTTCTATGCATTCAATTGGAATTTTTAAGATCAAACGACAGTATCTACTCCTACCAATGCACGAATAGCACTTCGAAGCGATATCGATAATCGGGGTTCCCGCGGTGGTTTCACATAGTTGTCTGTCTCATCTTTCTCAACGAGTGTCTAAAAGAAGCCTCTACTTTGCTAACACAAACACGCGAAAGTATCAAACTCACAAGCACACACACTACTGAAACTTACCTCAACCAAAGCATTTGTTGTAGCAACATGCTCTTCAAGTGGGCAGTTCTGAAGATGTAGAAGACAAATCACACTAATTAACTAACAGGACTACTACCTACGATTTCAGTAGGCAAATGACTAGGTACATTCTACATACATTAACATATGCAGTTCCATTCGAGCCAGGATGATTAACTTTACCAACAAAGGCATGGCGAAGCGGACGACTCAACTACAAACGCAGATCATGACATATTTCAGAAAAATGGAAAGTTTGAGGGAGGGGGGGGGGAAGAAGAGTGAAGGAGAGAAGGTAGGTATAATCTATAAGTCATCTCACCGGTTGAGAAAGGTAGCCCAAAGTGACCTTGGAGGCAAACGATTTCTGTCGAGGGGAATTCTTAGATTGTGGCGGTGGTTGTAACTGAAGAGAAGGCGTCTGTGGAGAAAGTGAAGAAATGAAGAGAGAGTAGAAAAAGAGCAAGGGAAAGGGAAGTGAACAGCATGGCTTATGGAGACTTTTGAAGAGCAATTCATGCCAGAGCAGTAGCCAGAAATATAAGCAATACTAATGAATCTATTGGATTCTTAAATTCATGATAGGATGTTGAATGAATTAGTGGAAAATTGAAATGAACAAACACCACCTCATAGTAACTTCTACTGATTAATTACAAGAAGCATATACTCATTTAGGCATGCCATGGTGATCAACATTTTTGTCAACCGCTAGACATGCAAAGAAAAGGACCACTATTTATTACTACCTTCATCATTAGTAGTGATACTTACCATCGCGATAAATGATGACGTTAGAGGACTGTTGATAGACTGATCAGCTGGCTAAAGTAGAGACAGGCAACAAACAAATACCCAGCACTTCCGATGTGAGAACTCCTGTTGTGAAGCAAGTTACGATACAATGAAACTCTCTTTCAGAATCATTAGACTCAATATTGGATGGAAAAATCCAGTGCCATATTAAAGTACTAAGCATTCAATGACGATCAAGAACGCTAACTCAGAAAATTGTCCACAAAGGGAGAACCAATCAGAAACTATCCTACATGTGGATATTCTAACTAACTAAAGATACTGATTGAAGGAAGGAATACTTTGCATTTGACTAATTCGTAAATGCGATTAGTTGTAAGCTGTTCTTGATCCATAAGAAAAGTGTGCGCAGCATTTGACGCGAGAAATGGGGGGGGGTATTCTGAGACCCAGTCTGATGAGGAACTTAAATTTTATTTGAGCACCCACTTCGCAACAACTCTGTCAAATATCCTCTCAGCGTTAACTTGCCTCTTTCAGTTCTGTCTTTTATTTCTAACGAGTATACCTGGAACGCTATCAGTATTAAATAAGGATTTTAAAAATATGACTTTCCTTTTATTTTGAGTACTGTAACTGTCATCAAAAGTAAGCAACAAGGCAACAATAGATCGGAAAAGAAAATGTTCTTAAACTAATTGACATGCACTCAAAACATCTAGATTTGAAATACGAAAAGAATTTCCTCTCAAAAAATGGCCGAGATCGAAGTGTGATAGTGTAGACGTAAGAAATATCTAATGGCTGATAAAGATTTCAGTTACAGAACCTAACCACCGCCAGGGGAATTGAGAAGCAACAACTCAACTGCCAACCGAACTAGGCAACACCTGGGATCATTTGAAAGGCGATCGAAGTTGTGACAACTAAGCATGGGACACAAGAAAGTGCGTCGATACAATAGTGCGATAGTAATCATATGAAGAAGAAGTAATTGGTAGGGCGAACGTTTAAGACATCTGATAAATCGCGTAACTGACAGAGAGGGGGGGGGGGGGGAGAGAAAGAGAAGGGGGAAGATAGCATACCGATATTTCTTCGAATTTTGCGATGAGTGACTTAAATGACAACTTCTTTGATGTCTTTCCTCCTCCCTGAAAACAGGCCAATGGAGTTTAAAAGAAATTCAATTTAAACAACGCGAGACGTATAAGGCGAAATGGGATTTCAGAACCATTAATCCGCACTTTAAAAGTACTTGTTAAAGCGATTAAAGCCTTCCCTCTGACCCATAACCTATCACACAAGCACACACCCTCAACGAGTTTCAATCATTCACCCAAACGAGGAGGTCACATAAGAAAATGATTCAGCAAATCAATAGCGCATTAGAGAGATGAGCACACAAGAGGCAAATTAGAATACGCTACTTATACACATTTCAGCGAATATGATCTTTCGAAGCGTTTGAATGGGAGGAGGAACGACAAGCTGCAAGTCGGCCACGAGAAGGTGAGAAGCGATTTGAATCAATGATAGATGCGGAAAAATCTTACCTGGACAGGGGTCGGGGTAACGATTGAAGCAGCAGAAACAGTGATTGCGGTAGTAGTAGATGGGGCGACACTCGTAGAAACCAGAGGAGGAACTGTAGTGGATGAAAGACGTCGGGCTTCTTCCAACACATCATTCGCAATGCCTTGAGTTGAACGACGAGTAGAACGCACCAAACGTGCTTTGCTACTGCGTTGGGCTTCAGTCTCCTCCGACCGAGCAGGAGCTAAGACAGCCGAAATTCTACACAAACAGTGAAAAAATATGAAATACTGTTAACATTGGCTCCAGACAGATATGTTGTACTGGTTAGATTGGGGTTGATTCATGTGTGCGATGAGGGGAGAGCCATCGAGATAGGATTGTGGAGAAGGGGGCATTCTGCCAGTTTGACCCAAATGAGATAATGAATATGTACATCTGCCAAGGGCACGTTGAAAAAAACGTCAATTGACTAGATCTGTCAATGCGAACACATGACAGTTCCAGCCCTAACGCTATCCCTAGCACAAAAATTTCTGCAGTTTATGCATAAAAACGCAACCTATTTTAAGAGCGAAAACTATGGCCCTTCATATAGCAAACAGAAAAGGAAACTAAAATGAGAGATCTTAAAACACAATGGACTGTTTTTATTCCGATAGAATATGTTATGATTATGAAGAAAAAAACCAGAAATGTAAGCGTAATTCCACATGTCATCATATTTTTAAAACAGGCTTAAAGTAACCAGAACTTGGGCACTAGAAGGCCACCATTCATATATACCAATACCTACCAAACCCATTCGAAAAAGTATTTTGCATAGCTCATCGTGGTTTAGGAGATAGCATCATTGAGTAATGGGGATGAAAAATTCGAACCCTTTGTCAGCCATCTTCACCAAGACCATTGATCATTCTCCTCATTCGATGAGAGTCGATGGATATCAAATTCGTGAAATCTAACTTCACAGCTGAGCAGGTTAGCCACCATCGTAAACCCTTGGTATATATACAAGATAAATATTTACCTTCTAATAGCAAGAAAATTAAAATTTAAACATAAATTTACTTCAATACATATTATGATTAAGGAGATAATAAACTGGTCATCATTTTAATTTAAGGTACTAAAATTTACTTATCATCGCCTCTCATGCAAGAGTTTTGTAATTCCTTTAACTTCAAAGGTACACAAGATACAACATTCAAGACTTTGAAGAGAAAGTTTTGGTCAACCTACAGGCGTTTCTGATTAAGTTTAAAGAGAGGAAAGCTTAGGTAAAATCTCTTCAGTAGACTAATATCCTCTAGGCAATTAGAGCATACATGTGCGGCCATTTCAGTCACAAGATATGTAACGATAAATCTATAAACCACATCATCTCATGGTGAGTCTGGTATTCACGGAATAATCGCAAAAAAAAGTGTAGAATTCAAACTCAAATGCATATTCACCAAAAATATCTTAAAGATGAAATCTATTGAAAGGATTCATAATCGTGCAGGTATACGGCTCAGTAAGCACTAACAAGGTAAATCCCTACAAGCGTAATATTTATGAGACAGGTGGTGGGAAAAACACTTGAGAGAGATTCTAATTCAAACAACCCTCCTTCGATGGATATAGATTAGAACACATGCAAACCGGCATTTACGAACGTTAGCTGAAATCACAGCAGAAGGCAGTAAAAGATTAGAGAGAGAGTGAGAGAGAGAGAGACAAGATGGCACAGGAGATCGTGTGCCAATGAGTGTTAGCTGAATAAGGTCATACCGTTTGATGGCTGTGCTGTCCTTTTTACGAACGTTGCTAACGATGAAAGAAGAGAGCGTGTGCATAAGGTCAAAAGGCAGAAAGAGAAAGAAATGGAGACAAGTGAGGGATACTAAACAACTCACCTCCTTCCGGTAACTCCATTCGATGCCACGCTATTGGCTGCATCTTGGGCCATCGTGGGCTCAGTAATTTGATTTCTTTGGGAGGACGACTGATGAAACGTAGAGAAAAAGTGATTAAAATGTCTTTAAATTAAATCTAGACTAAAACCTATCTATTGTTAGGAACAACTCTTCCGCTTACCAAAGACCTGAGGAACGCCTAATTTTAATATTAACCTAAGACGTCAAGACTAGGGCAAGGAAAATTCAATATAATTAGTTAAAATAAATTTAGTATTATGCTTACAAGGACAGCCGTTGCAATTGAAGTACTTGGCAATGGAGATTGTTGTCTTGAAGATGTAGAATCTTCGAAAGTCTTTTCAGGCTCAGTGGGTTTAGAATCCTCCTTAGGTGTAGGCAATTCAACTGAAAATAGGCAGAATTCAGAACATTAGTCAATAAGAGGGAAGTATTACAAAAAAATAACCCCAAAAAGTACGTTTTTCTGGAGCCTTCATTATTGGTGAATGAGGTCTTCTAGGAACAGATTTGACCTCTGAAGCCTCCTGTTGCTGTTGTGTCTTCTCTTTCTCCTTCTGAAGTAGAATGACTTTTTCCTTCTCCTTTTCATCAAGTTTCTTGGCCCTTAAGGCGACTTCATCTTTCTGAGGCTTGTTGAGCAGATCGTCAGCTTCCATGGCCATTTCCTCTGCGGCTTCAGTCCTTTCTTCTTCATCTTCTTTTTCCTCGATTGTAGGGGTGGTGGAAGATGACGGTTGAACTTCGAGCTGCTCATCGATTTTGGCCACCTTTGGATCAGCTGGTTTTGCTTCATCTTCTATCTTCACCGCAGTTTCATCTGAAGGTATTGAATGACCGGGTTCGGGGGCTAGGTTCTCTTCTTCATCATTAGCTCTTAAGTCACAAGGAAAAAGTGGGCGATTAAAGTAAGACATAGAGAAATCAAATAAAAATAGGAAACATTTAACTAAGCTATACCTTTTGTTTGTTTTAATTGAGGACTTCGATGAGCTCATCTGCTAATCAAGGAGCCCTTTAAAATGACATTAAGATATTAAAGCTTTCTCTAATTCCACTTGCTGATCTCTTTGCCAAACAGTTCGGCTGCTGACATTAAATGAGTAATCCTCTAGCTTTAAGCGTTCCACAAAGGAAAGGGTAATTATAATCTCATACACCACAACCCCACGCCACCCCCCCCCCCCCAAAGCCAAAATCACTTTAAATGAGTCTCTTTGAAGGATCGTCTGAAAAAAATGCCACGACTTTTCTAGGCTGAGTGGATAGGGGCGAAAATTCCCAAACTCAAGGATAAAATCAGGAGACTACTTACCTAAGTTATATGCATACGACTAGAGGCATGCGCATGCTTGCCAAGTGCACACTAACTTCATAGATGTCTGAACGTGTGAATAAGCATAACGTTCACAAGTTCATTGAAGGAGCGTTTTCAATAATCATTTAAGGAACTCCACAAATGAAAAAACTAACTGGCCAAACCCCATCAAGATAGGTCATACGAATGTGCACCAACGAATGCTAAATTAATGACCTCTGATTTGGCAGGTACACTCATCGACCACTACGTCACGAACAAATAATGGATAAAATTTGGCTGGAAATTGAAATTTCTTCATAACGACCGAAGCGTTAACTCTGTGTGTGTATGTGATGATTAAAATTACAGTAAGCTAATAGTCACGCACCAATTAAGAATAAAGGAGAAAATCATTAAACTCAACTAATTAACATTTTCCGCACTGGTTCCGACTCTCCGAACAAAGCTAAGTGAGAATACGTAAAAAAGTAATTTGTGTTATCCGTTTTTCTTCAGACACATTCAAAAGTAATGCTAAAATGACAGAGGCTATTGGTAAGAATTTTAGGAGGATACAATAAATCGCAGAATAAATCTTCCTATCAAAGAAATAGCCCAGAAAAGGAGTAAATATGAACCACTTAGAGTCTTCCAGCTTAGTTTCATGGATTGATTAAGGAAAACCATCCTCTTCTACCCATTTCACTTCCTCTTTCCATCTCACTACGGGTTTCGCATTTTGGAAAGGCTGTTGACCTCTCCAAGACTTATATGAAAATGCACACAGTTTAAAGTTTGCTTTAAACACGTGACTTCTATCTGGGGGTCTAAATTAGCATTTTATCAAAGGAGAAAACATATGCGGGAAAAACGACTTACTTTCGTCGCACAGCAACTGCAGGAGGAGTAACAACGGGTTTCTCTTCAGCAGCAGCCGCTGCAGCACGTTGTTGTTCCTGAATGAACGAAGGCGAAGGAAACAAGAATTAAAGCCAAATTGGGAATTGCTGTAAATGAAAAAAGCGAGGAGGGTGGTGGGGGGGGGGGGCCAAACTCACAACACGAAGCTGTCGCAGGAGCATCGTCACACTTCGATCTGCCACATCATAAATTGTTTGATTCTGAAAAAGAAATTATCACAGCAACATTGAATTGAGTCAAATCACGATTTTACCAAGGATCATAAGATTAAAGTTCGTGTCCAGTGGAAGATATGATTAACTATCCAACAGGAAGTCCTTTAGAAGGGAAAAATAGGAATGGTTTGCGTCTTATAGAGTTGAAGTAGCGCTCACCGGCGTTGCGGACTATGGTGAGCTTCCAGTTATTACCAAATTGGAATACTCGGAGTATTAAGATGACAATTTTAAAATTTGAAACAGAAGACAATTAACTAGGAGACCTGATTTAACCCAAGTGAGAAGAGTGACTGAATTTTTTCGATAGGAAAGTAAAGGAATTTAATTGTTCGTAAGAGTAAATTAATAACTGAAGGAGACTCCAGGTCATTCACGTAAGGCAAAGCATAAAGTAGAAAGCCGTATTAATCTTAGAAATCAGTACAAATGTGGTGGCACTTTAATTGCATCTAGGGTTCTATAATTTGGGCATTCCAATCACTTTGTGTGCAGTAACGTACTTTGTAGACGCAATATCGAACATAACGGGCATGCACGTTGAACGCCATTTCAACGGTGCACACCTTTTCCGACATTTAAGCCTCCACATTCAGAGAATAATTTAATCAGGGAAAACCTTTACAAATAGACATCAATGTCTTACTAACTGTAAATCTCAAACTAGGTGAAACAACCAATATTACACTCACTTAAGCTCTGGTTTACCCTTTATTTTATGTTTCAGACGTTATAAAATGAGAAACAACGTAGTCCAGTCAATTCCTCTTAACGCCTGTTCGGGGAAATGAAAACCCCTTAAAAGGTAACCAAATGTTACAGTGATTCATGCACCTAATTTGACTGAGGTCAAATGTTCGCTACTTAGCAGAATGACAAACCGAAGTGGTGGAATGTTTTTCAACCTCAGAGTAGCCAGGATGCCCACTCTCTGCACCATGGGAATAATTCAAGCGCTGGAGAAAAAGTCGCAGTATAACTCACCGGTTTTGCAGAGTAATATTAGTCTCCTATAACTGACTGAAGTGTTGGCAGCATTGACTTACTTACTGTAGACCACATTGACTAATTAAAATCATCAAAAATTGGAAGCATGACGCATACATCCGTTAAATTAATAGTAGAGTAATGAAATCTGCCATATTTTAAGCAGATAGTTCATAAGCAGAAGTGGATACACCTGGGACATCTCCAGCCTTATAAGCGAGACAAATTCAAAGAAAAAAATTTTTATCAAGTAGGGAGACTGCCTTAAATAAGGGCGATCAACTTACAAAACTTATTCCCCCCCCCCCCCCATACTTCACCATTTCAAACATTGGAGACGTAATGACGTAATCTGAATCAGTCAAATTTACCGCAACTGGCATTCACGATAGTGCCATGATGCCTATGGCAAGAAATAAAGGAACCAAAAAAAGAGAAGTCCCGTGTTAACATGGCAAGTCCTATTTGAATGTTATCAACAAGACTGCAGTTTCATAAGGTAAAAGAAGTCGTTCTTCAGTTGCAAGATTGACCTGTCAGAATTAAGTAGACCACTAGGGCTAGCGAACGTAGGCGATGTAAAGGTCATTCCAGTTGCGACGTGACAACACATTTCAAATACTTAACATCAACACATTTAAACTTTATGAAAGCGCAAGATGGCGCATATTTAGGATTTTATCCTTAATAACTCAGTCGTCAAGACAGAGAAAAAAAAGGATTTCGATTTTATTCCATTCAGATAAAAGAAGGCATATACTTCAACGGCACCTACTTGGCATTTTTTAATAACCCATTGAGCACTGATGCACAAGATCTACTTATCAAAACTCGAGACATGGGTTTCAGAATTTGGTATACGATTGACTTACTCTCACAATAATCTTGTAGCTAACATAAGGTTAAAGCGCTGCACTATTGACTCTGTAAGGTCAAAGAATGTAATGTTCTTAACTTAAACAGACATAAGTGGAACACAAGTATGTAACAGGAATATGGACTTACAGTGAGCGTAATGATATCAAAAGAGGCGCCAGCGGAAGCAAGAAGTCGAAGGGGTTTTTCTTTAGCCCAGTGAGCCGCGGCATGCAACGGTGTCCACCCATCAACGTCTGTAGCGTCTACTTCTATGTTAGGGAGTTTGAGAAGAATTTCCAGAACATCAGAGTAGCCTTTTGCTGCAGCTATATGCAGTGCAGTTGCACCGGTACGAGGATCTACCACACTTCTGCAAATAAAAGGGGAAACTTAATTGGGCGACAATTTAAATTATATTAGTTCATTTAACAATCCATTACAACTTTTGAGTGGAGCTATCTAGAGGCTATAAAGATAAACCTTCCATTTAGCTTATTTAAATTAATGAATTTTCAGGTAAAGCTACGTTACGACTACGGAGACAGAAATAGTCATCAGCATTAAATATTCTCCAACTGCATTGGTGAACGACACGCACGATCACTTCCAGGAGTAATCTTCCTTAACTTGGAGTGATTTGAGTTGAGTGAAGCTCAGCTAATTTTTCACATCACCAGAGCTAGCTACCCTGACTAAGCGGTAAAGATTAGGAGTGGAATCATTAAGTACTAAAAAATGAGAAAATAAAGTGGATGAAGAAAACATGATCCTCGAACTCAAATATTTCAACTTGTGATGATCATTAAGAGGCACCAATTATGATTCGAACAAAAATATACAGAATAGCCCTTTTCTCCAATTTCCCTTTTTCCTTCAACAGAAGTTCCATTGAGGTCTATCCAAATACAGTCTAAATCGTACCAAACGGAGTACATCTTGAATCTACCACAGTTAATGTTGAATTTACTGATCCTAGCCTCATCTACCAGCACCCCGAGTGTGTAAAGCTGATACAAATCATTCAAAAAAGCCACATCCAACAACGGAATTAAATCAACCGGGGAGTAAGCTCTGAATATCTCTGGAAAATGAGAGTTAAATTGTAAAAACTAAATACTAGGGCATTACGGAGTGAGGTCCTCTCCTTACAAGAACACGGGAAGCGCAGCATTCAAAAAAAACAGAGAGTAGGAAACTCGGTGTCCTGATACCGCAATCTTCTCTTCTGGAGCCTCCACCCTAATTCAAATTTTATTGGACTTAGTTTTTGTTTCCAATATTTTCTTGCCTTTCTATGATGAAAATTGTAAACACTCTTCGCTGTACCATAGACAATTATAATAATGTTAACAGAATAATTTAGATTAACTTAGTTAAAAGTCCTCATGAAGTCAAAATACACACCAAATGAATAATCAATCCCCTCTATAATTAAAACTCCGGATTAAGACAACTGCAGGGATTGGTAAAAAATAAATGGGATGTTGGTGCTAGGTTAAAAAAATAGTAACTGAAATAGTTGGAGATAATACTGAAAAAGTTGCCAGCACAGATGACTCAGCCTATAGGCTTATATGTGCCAAAATAACTATTGGGTGGGCAAATAAGTCATTGCCGTTTTTGTTGACAGATTCACTCTATACTTTCTTTTGTTTTGTTAACGTGGCCAGAGCATCTAACCTATATTTTTTTCTTACTGTATGGGGCTTCTAGGTTAATTAGTAAAATTTTTTTTTGTTTAGTTCTTTAGTTTTGTTTTATCCCAATTTAAAAATGAAAGAACAGGACGTGCACTTCCGACACATTTTATTGTATTACTTCCGAAAAGGCAAGAACGCATCGCAAGCACAAAAGAAGTTATGTGCCGTATATGGAGATGAAGCCTTAAAAGAAAGGCAGTGTCGAAATTGGTTTGAAAGATTTCGTTCCGGTGATTTTTCACTGAAAAATTCACAACAATCTGGCCGCCCAGTCGAAGTGGATGAAACCCATATCAAGGCCATTATCGATTCAAATCGTCACAACACAACACGAGATATTGCAGAGAAGTTCAATGTGTCGCATACATGCATTGAAAAAATTAAAAACCCTTGGTTATGTCAAGAAACTTGATTTATAGATCCCTCACCAGTTAAAGGAAATTCATTTGACGCAACGGATTAGCATCTGTGATTCGCCGCTACTGAAACGCAATGAGAATGATCCATTTCCGAGGAAGAACCTAGTTACTGGCGACGAAAAGTGGATAGTTTATAACAATGTTACTCGCAAGAGATCATGGGTGAAGCAAGATCAACCAGCCCAAACAGTATCAAAAGCAGAGATTCACCAAAAAAAGATTATGCTGTCAGTCTGGTGGGATCACAAAGGAATTTTGTATTTTGAACTCATGCCGCAGAACCAAACGATAAATTCAAATGTGTATGTTGAAGAACTCGAAAAACTGAAGGATGCAATTGAAGATAAGCGGCCAGCATTATCAAATCGGAAGGGTGTTGTTTTCCATCATGATAACGCAAGGCCCCACACATCTTTGGTTACTCGGCAAAAATTATTGCAACTGGGTTGGGATGTTTTGTCACACCCACCATATAGCCCTGATCTTGCGCCTTCGGATTATCATTTGTTTCGTTCCATGCAAAACTCTTTAAGTGGTAAAATTTTTAACAACGCGGATGATGTCGGATCACACCTAATTCAGTTTTTTAATAGCAAAGACCAGACATTTTACGAACGGGGAATTTTTACTCTGCCAGAACGATGGAAAAAGGTCATCGACAAGAACGACCAATATCTAATTGAATAAAGTTATATTTTTAAACAAAAATTGCGAATTTGCCTTCTTATTTGAAATCGGCAATGACTTAGTTGCCAACCTAATAGATGGGGGAGTTAACAGAACAAACGATAAGTAGCCGGAATAAAAAAACAAACCGGCACAAGACATCGAATTCTGAAGTAAATTTGCCAAGATAAAGTTGCTTTTACTTATTGGAACAATGAGAGTATTTAAATACCGATCACGTTAGCGCTTGAATCCGCATGCCAAGTGCAGGGATCATATTGATACAAATTGATACACATTCAGAGCATAATTCAAATCAACCGAACTTTGGAACGCAAAATCACCACAAAATGAAATGAGAAAAAGTGGAATAAGAAACATGAAATTGGTACAAGGGAACGTAGTAACCAACAATGCCCAATTGCCCACTGAAGTAAAATTGCAGTTGTATTCTCTCAGAACCAGCGGGGTGAAGACAGAAGTCACGCAAAGAAAATATCAAGAAATCGTAATCTCCTATCTAATTAAGATAGAGGAGAATAAAAATATAGGACATACGGATAATTGCCAGTACGAAGCCACTCTTGGGCATCTTTGAGCATCGCCTGTTCTTCGGCATTTCGAGCTGCCTTCTCGTCAACAGATTGACGTTGCATCCAATCCTTGAGGAGAGCAACCATGTCCTTGCCCTGTGCTACATCCAGAGGCAACTCCAATTCGAAACTCACGATTCCTGTATCGGCTCCGTGCTCCAATAAAAGTCTAGGGGAGAAGAAAGTGAAATAGTGGGGATTTACTGACAGTAGTAGATATTAGTTTGGTTTTGAAGAGAAGACTGAGGGAGGTAGGCCCAATTATTACCATTAAAAGGAATGAAGGTAAAGTACATGAGAGTTTCGTTACCACTGTGACCTCTCTATGTGATCCTTCACTTAAACTAACTGAAAAAAACACAACTAACAAATAAATACGGGGGCTCGTGATTGTACTCGTATAATAACTTAGTCAGCTCCAACTGCCAATCCTCGTCGCTGATATAAGCATAATTTTGAGGATATCTCAACTTGGAAAAGGAACCATAAATCAAATAGGATTACACAGCCAAAGGAAGGAGACAGGTTTCAAATGTAAAATGAAAGACAATCCAGTAGATTCAGCTATTAATAATAGACTACAAACTTCTCTAATAAAGCAATTAAAGCAAAATTTTTGTCATTCAAAAAATTAACCTTTAAATGATTATAGTAAGGATCAACACTTACTGTTCAGAGCAATTAAAGCATGCAATAACAATTGGATTGAAACGTGAATAATAGCCTTAAACGATTTACAAATTAATGCCCCAGCCGAGAAGAAAGAAAACACAATTTCCAGCTCTTATAGCGAAAACATGTTACAGGTGAATTTAAGCCATGTACAGCGCAACGGTAGTATATACTATTAATCTATAATTAGATTTTCGCCTTGATATAACCTCATACAGCAATTCATAAACCGTTCATGAAAGGAACAAGTAAATTTAATGAACTGGTAATCCAGCTAACTGTGAGAAAATAGAAAATAAGGCCTTAGAAGGCAGAACTAAAGACACTTGCTATTATTATTGACCAAAGAAGTGCAAAAGGACATCAGGCAATGGAAATTAGTCAGTAAAAGTCTAAAAATAATGTTAAAGGAGAGGGGACCAAAAAGTTGCCGAGAGTAATGTTAAGAGTACCATTCTGGATTTAATTGACTTTTGAAGTCATCGTGTGTATAATTTTACCATATGCGCAAGTTGCTTTACCTATAGAAAGGTAATCGAATCAAGACAAAACCACCAACAAATTCCTAAACTTAGTCAATTCCAAGTGTTCACTTCCTTCTCCCAACAAATAGATTTGAAACAATGTGTGGAACGCGAAATTGTGCAAATACGTCTTTATTTCTAAAAACCGAATTTCAGTTCCTTTTCACTAAATTGGATGTAAAGTGGCTGAATATCTGAATCATTGAAAAATTTAAAACACAAAGGCATAAATTACAAGCATAGACCTCTCGTTTCAAAATCGAGACTTCAAAATTCAAATTACCACCCCCC